CTCAGAAGCATGTTATGTTGCCCATGGCATGCAAGTGGCCTAAGGAGCCAGAATGTCCCAGCTGGATCAGCCTTGCACCTCCTAGGGTATAGGCTTTTCCTTGTGGGCAATGGCTGATGTCATGTCTGCATGGCAGCCCCCTGTAAGTGCAGAAAGCTATTGTCTCCAAGATCCATCACCCACCTTCCTGCTGGTGTTGAAGTCCCCTTTTCCCGCGCCAGTCAGTCAGCTGGTCGAAAGCAGGAATGGCTGGCAGACTGGGGAAGAAGCAAGACCTGAGCCAGCCGCAGGTGTGGATGACAGCACTAGTTAGGATTCAAACGGAGTCCTTCGGCCCAGGAGTTACTGGGATGCATTATGCTTCCTGATCCGCCTTCCGCAGTCTCACCTGGGAGATGCTACACGTTGTGAGGGAAGAACACATTTACCAAGATAAACGTTAAGAGCGGAGTCAGGTACTGCCTCCCATCTGACACGTGTGTAAATCTGAGCCCAAATGGATCTGGTCCAGTTCTGGAGGTTTCTGAGGGACAGCTTCTCAAGAAAGTGGAACCACTTGGCTCTCAAGGTCAACATTAGGAGTCCCAGTGGCACTGTTGGGTAAGCATTGGATCGTTAACCACAGAGTTGGAGGTTCAAACCCACCAACTGCCCTGTGGGAGAAAGATGAGCCTATCTGCTCCCAGGAAGATTTACAGGCTCAGAAACGCCTATGCTGAGCTGCTGTGAGTCAAAGCCAACTCCATGGCAGTACGTTTGGGTTTTCTGTCTTGTTCTTCTTTCTGTGGTGGTCAGCGTCATTGACACAGTAGCCCCCACCATCGCCTCAGACACACCTGTGATCATGAAGCGGGCACAGGCCGGACTGGGCAGCGCTGTGTTGTTACCCACAGGGTGTCCATGAGTCCGAGCCAACTGGACAGCAACAGACAACAGGTCAGCCTTTAGGAAAGGAGACCCCAGGGGTGGCTCGGCAGCCACCTTGTTGGGGTCCAATCAGATAACCAGTACCATGCTGCCCAGGTGGTAGGGCAGCCGGGATCTTCATATCCCAAGCCAGCCAAGCGCTCAAGGCTATAACTAGCCCACTCATTTGTGCTTCCGAAGTTTCCATCTTTTTTTTTTTTCCACTCAGCGGAACACTCATCAAGCATGCCAACTGTGCCAGACTCGGCGAGGTGCTGGGATAGAACTCGGGGTGATGGAGTCGCTGTCCCAGAGGAGCAAGCTCCTTGTGGTGGGAAAGATGGCCGTGGGAGCAGGCACCTTGCCATTCGGCCCAGTGCTGAATCCTGATCCATGCCCTCGTGCAGGGGGAAGGCACCAGTGCCCAGTGGCCCTCCTTCTCCAGGTTGGTCTAGACCTAATGCCACGTACAAAGCTGCTCAGGTCCTTGGAGGGAGGTGCCTCACCTCTCCATTCGGCGATCCCTGGGTGGGAACACCCTTGATATTCATTCCTCTCATCCTGAGATCTTGTACCACACTCCAGTTTGAAATAGGACTTCAGAGCAGCCTAGAAACATCTCCACTCAGGGAAGGCGCTCCCTGGGGGCAGGGATCTTGTGCCCCTTGGCCACCACTGCATTCCCACTGGCCAGCACAGCGGCGGGCCCTCGGTAGCCACTACTTAAATAGTTGTTGCAAGGAAGACTAGAAGCCCGTGGGTTTCCTTCTTGGCCCTGCTGGCCCGGGACAAGACGAAAGAGCCACAGGCTGGTTCCTGGGCTGCCCATCCTCGGCCAGCGCGAGGTCCTCCAGGCAGGGTGTCCCGGGCCCTGTACTCCCTTCCCAGGGGAGGCAGGCCGCTGGAGCCCTCCCTGTCAAGGGGCATCTCCGGTGCCCTCCCAGGGCTCCTGTGAGGCTCATCACGTGAGGCAGTTTGTCAAAGAGCGTGAAGGACAGCATCTGACATCGTGGTCAGGGTGCCCCTGCCGGAGAGCGGAGCCAAGCAGGCCACGTGCTTCCTCCACCATCACCCCCCATGCGTTGGACGTCTCCTGTGGAAAGCCAAGTTGTTTGGCTTTTCTTGTTTATTCTGAAGTTCCTCAAACTAGTTCCTCAATTTCAGAGCCAGTTGCCAGTGAGTGCAGCGAATTTGAAGCCTCCTCGCTGGCAGAGGGCTAAGCTTGTAACCCAGGGAGCCCCTGCTGGAAGCCAGTGCCAGTTCTGCAGGAGGGGGCCGAGCCGCGCCTGGGGGACTGCTCTTCCCGCCTGCCGAGGCCCATCTGAAAGGTTAACCGAGGGGGGTTGTTGGTCACCATCCAGGCTTTGCTTGTAACGAGGGCCTCGAGGCGTGGCAAGATCTAGAAGTGCGTTTTGACTCATCCAAGGCTGTGCACAGCACGTGCCTGTAGGGATGAGGGCCGCCTGGGGCACTGCAGTCTTGGGCACTTGTTGGGTGTGTGGTGAGCGGCATACATGGTAGCCCACACACAGAGAGAAGATTCCGTTAAGCCAGAGACCGAGGCTGGTAAATTTCAGGGGATGAGCCTTGAGAACTCGGTTTCCATGTAACATACATGTTTTTAAATCCCTGGCTGCTTATCATCGAAACGGAAGCTCGCAGGTGGTTGATTGCCCTCTGCCCCATGATACCCCTTCCCCACGCTCCCCTCCCCGTCTGGGCCACGTTGGTCTCTGAGGGTCACTGGCCCGCCGATGTCACTGATGGCTTCCTTTCTGTGTGCTGTCGGCTCTTCACACCAGAAACGGAAACGATGAATTGAAAAATTACAAAATGCCCCGGATGAAGGGCCTGGGGGTAAAGCACGGACTGGCTTTTGAGGACAAGCCGCCATGCTCAAGAAGCCAGGCGCCAGGCTGTCTAGAATGAATGGCCGTTGGGGGTTTTTTCCCGGACTTGGGGGTTGGCTTGGGTTCGGTTCCCGGTTTTCCGGCGTTTTTTGTTCTTGTTGCCCCTTTCAAGTTTGTGTGTGCGTGTGTCTGTGTTTGTTTGTTTGTTCCAGGAATGTAGTCTGACTTCTGCGTACGCTTCCTCCTTGAGGTGCTTTCTCCTGGGTGAGTTCTTGGGGTTACCACTCCCAGGCCTTGGGCTTCTGGCCCTGGAGGGCAGCCCCCACCCTACCTGCCGTCTAAAGCTGAGGTCGTTTGAAAATGCAGAAAGCGTAGTGCTTAAAAGTACGAACATAGACAAGAAAGACCTCCTTGCGTGAATCCTATGCCCGCCAAGTACCTGCACCGGGGCCTTGGGCAAATGACTGGCCATCCTGCGCCTCAGTTTCTTCTTCTGTGTAAAGAGGGAGCCATCAGGGCCTTGCTCACAGGATCCGTGTGAAGACTCCAGCAACATGTGGTGAACACATGTGTGCTCCACCCACTACATACTAAGCAATCCGTGATGGCCGCCACCGTTCGTCATGACCACTGGTGCCGGCGGCAGTGCACTGTGTGTCTTGCACAGAGCGGCAGGTTGTTGAGAACACCCAAAG